TAATGAGGAACTTCAAGGTGAGACCGATATAGGCCACAGGAGGCGCCAAGGCAGATCAATATTAGAAAATTGTATAGTTTCAACCCTCGAAGGTTCACGGACGGTCTGGACGGTTACGTAACACCACTGACTGTAGGACACAGAATCTTCCACAAGACGTCGATACGTCTTCAAGTATTCGAGGAAATCGATGTTATTACTAACTCAGTGTTTCTGGGAGTTTGTTGAAAAGTATATGCTCATATGATCTGGTGGTTCACCGCCGTTATGGAATCCGAAAGTTTAGCAACTTTAGCTGCCTGGACCAGTTAAATATTTTTCATAATATATATCCCTGATGTACATTTTAATGTACGCTTGCGTCTTCTCAAGTCATCTCTTCCTTTCAGGGTTTCCGAATAGAATAATGTAAGAATTTCTTATCTTTGTCGTGATTGCTACATGTCCCGCCCATCTGATCTCCATCTTATCATCGTTATGATAAATGGTGAAAGAGCACAAATTGTAAGCTCTCCATTCTGCATTTGTTTCAGTCTTCCTGTTACTTCCTGTCGCCAACGTCTGTTCTGTTCGGTATTGCGACGTACGATAATTTTACTCAAAAATGATAATGACTCACGTGGTAAAATTTCATGCAAGCTGTGAGACCCATGTGTATATCTGTGAGTGCCACCAGATACATGCAGCCGGAGCTACACTACCGCAACCCGCCGCAAACAGCATTAAGGATTCTCAGGATGCTGCAACGCTCTCTCTGAGCCGACTAATCCCCTGATTTACACAGACCACAACCCCCCCCCCCCCCCCCCCCCCCTCTCACACCACGCGCAATGTCCCCCTCTGCAAGTAGGTAGCTACAGCAAGCAATTTTGTAGAAAGTCTAGTGCTTCTGTAAGGATGGACAGAGTGGAACTGCTTACTTGCTAAAAGGAAAACAGGCCCAAAGGATTTTAATTTGAAACTTGTGCAACCTCCCTGCGTCTTGTTCATTTATGAACGGCAGTGTTAATTGCTGGAAACACGTAACTTACGCAGCGCGGGTTTTTGAACTCGGAATATGAATCAGAAGTAGGAGAATAGCGAAAGAAAGTAATAAACTTCTACGAAAGTAACTGTTAGAAATATTGATGCACAACTTCGGCTCTCGGGGATGATGGATTCTGAAAATTATTCAACGTTTCGGCAAACTTTTCATTTACCATCTTCAGAGTGAATGCGTAATGGATGGTCGTCTTTTCGCCGACTTCCTGCCCCATGTAGGGCCTCTATCGTGCGACACATGTGATCAGGTGCACATTGCTGGCTTCTTCGTTGAGGTGTGAGTCCATTGTGTAACTCCGTTTCTTATGAACAGCCTCTGTCGTGTTTCTCCTTAAAATAAATGCATTGCTGCTAGTACAGACAGCAGTCTGTGCTCAATGTAGGGCCCCTGCGGACCATAAAATCGTTCCTGATCAATACGTTGGCGTATGCAGGTCAAAGGTACGAGATTGGACTGACGGGCAGGACTGGAACGGGGGGGGGGGGGGGGTGAGGGAAGTAAAGCAGAGGAAGATTAAGGCGAGGAGAATCGGGCATCGAGCGAGGACGAAAAGGGTAATTATGTGGGGTATTAAGGTTATGAAGGACTGCAAGGAGAAGCTGGGGAAGAAGACGATGATGAATAAGAAGAAGAAGAAGAGGGTGTCCAGGTTGGTGAGAAGGGTGAAAGCGGAGAGGAAGAAAGAAAGAAAGAACGACGAATAAAAGTTATAATAAGATGTACAGGAAGAAAAGAGAATAAGACAGAGAAGAAGACCACTTTAATGACAATGATACAGGTAATGAAGAAGACGGTGAGAGAGAAGTGGAAGAAGGAATCATTGGGGTTTATGTAAAAGAGCAAAGAAAGTAAAAAAATGTTTATAAAGAAGTTCGAGATTCTCGCGGCACTGAGGATGTCGCTGTTGGCTGTAACGCCGCGTGGACTGGTAAGTGGAAACATTCTGCCATCATCTTTGTCCCTGAAGATGGAATCAGCATGTTCTTCCGAAGCGTTGGTATCTCCGTAAGAGTCCACATGGCTTTACAGCCTAGAAGACCAATATCGGTATAATTAACGATTAAGACTTATGATCTCTAAAATATTAGCTTGGGTTGTACAAGTTGGAACTGAAGTTTGTGTATTTAATTGTGAGCTGGAAGCTGTGTTCGGTCGCCTGTAGTAACTTCATCGGCGCAGACACAGGAAGGAGATTTAGTTAGTTACTTCGTTGTTTATTCAGGGCAAGGAGAAGTTTTAGATCTTGAGACTCTGCCGCGTCCAGTTAATTTTATTCGAGACAGGGACTGGACAGGAAACAACTTTCGAGGTACGTACTGTGCTGGGTCGGAGGAGCTCAGTATGGATTGTGGTTAATCGTGCGGTACGCTGACGCACGATCACATGCGGAAGTCAGTAGCGACAGCGAATTCTTCCATAGGGATAATGCTCTGTTTGGAAAAGGTCATAAAATTTGACGAGGTAAGTACACGCTCCGCCTTTATTCGCCAGTCTGAAACATAAACGTCCTATAAATAAGGTGCATAATGACTGTACTCACGTCATGCTTATACGATAGCAGAATTTTCTTTTTCGCGTGTCTAGTGAGAAAGACGCTACTTTGACATTACTGATTTTTAAATTTATAGCAGTAGTTTCTAAAGAGCATACGTAGTTCAAGTTTTTATGTATGTTTTACAACTTTTATCTCAACATTTTGTATGATACTGTTAACTGTTTTTACCACCGGCCTTGACATAGTTGTTTGACATTTAACTCACAAAGTTTGTGCTTTTTATTTGGATTTTTAAAAAGCAGCGATTATCCACCCAGGTTAAACAGCTTAAAAACAGCTGTGACCGGAAAGAAGTTTCCGTCGGCATGGAATATGTGGGTAAGGGTTAAGAGGAGGCCACATACGGAAAATGTGGCCTGCCATTCAGTTGAGAGTTCTTTGTCTTCCTACATCATATCTAAAACCTGAAGATCAAAGAATAATGAAATGACTATTTTACCTTTTTATGTGGGTGTGAAACTCTGTCTTTTACCGTAGACTGGGGACGTTTGAGAACAAATTGCCCAGGAAAATGTGTGGACATAAGAGAGAAAATGTCAAGAGGATGAAGAAAATGACAAAATGAGAAGAATGACATGGCTTGGACATGTAGCGCCCAAGATGATGATGATGATGATGATGAAACATGCGCACAGACTTTAGTCATAAAACGTGAAAGACAGAGGCCACTATAAAGACCTAGGCATTTATGTGAAAAAATATTACAATTAATTTTACATAAATAGTGTGTGAAGACGCGAATTGTGTTAATTTCACTCAGAATAGAATCCATCAGCGGGTAGTGAAGAACACGGTAGTGAATCTTAGGGTTTCATAAAAGGCTGGGCTATTGTTTACTACCTGAGCAACTATTAGCTTATCGTGAAGGAAGATGCTAATGTGAAATGTACCGGTCATAATTACTAGTATATTATATTGTATGTTCCCATGCAAAAGTTATTTTGAAAAGATTTCATACTTTGAGAAGCTGCTGCTTATCTAACTTTATAATTGTTTGTGGCTGTAATGTTGGAACAACTGTTAGGTGAAGATGGCTGTCTTCTGGGTTGTTGCGCCGTGCAGTGTAGTAGAAGGTTAACGACGTTTCAGAAGTCCTTGCTGCTTCCATCATCAGGGAGATAGCCATTGTCACGTGTCTTTGGTGTCATGCTTTTCATAATCTCTTTGGAGTTAGTATCAACAAATCGGAATAGTAATCCGAATGTGTGAAGTGGACTTTGATAAGACCGATTTACGAGTGTGTGCTGATTGTGGTTCTTCTGTCTCTACTTAAAAGAAGGTTAGTAAAATACGTGCTCACCGTATTAGCCGCATCCTCCACACACAAAAAAAATATATATATATTTCTAGCGCGGAGAATTCCCAATTTTGTGTAATACCTCCATTTTCTGAACTGTTTCGCCCCTATTACCTCTGGGGATACACACATCATGTGAACCTCCCTCCACGCCCATTGTTGTTGGGGACGGGGTGCCCGTGGAGGCCACTTATCTTTTCCCCAACATCGCAGCACCATTTCCATGCAAAGCAGCACCTAACACCGTGGATCCTCCTCCAAATCTTCTCTTGGCTTCACTTTCAGTCATTTACCATTCTACTTGTGCCAAGACCAACCCTCACTCCCCAAGAAATAAACGTCGAGACCAACCCACCCTCTTACTTGAAGCCATCAGGACAACTTTCACTCGTAAGAAGAGAATGGGCCAGGTGGAGTTATTTCAGCTCGCAGCAGAAAAGGAGATGCAATATTTTTGGAAGTTTTGATGAAATAGTTATGTCCGATAGAATGAAAAGCAGAATAAAAGAAACAGAAATATTGAGGGTAAATAGACTTAAGAAGCAAGTAACTCCATGGAGCAAAGTCCTTCTTGAGAAGCTGATTGTCACTCGATAAATTCTCCGTCATTTATGGAAGCCAGAGTTTCTTTAACGTACTCACAAGTATCCGCCAATAATCTCTGTACTGTAGTAAATACGTCAAGTCCACACCAGCACCCTTTCCCCCAAAATCAGCTTTAATATCATCCTAAAACCTACGTCTAGGACTTCCGAATGGTTTTCAAGCTTTTCAACCAAAGTTTCGCATGGACTGTAACAAGTCGGTAAAGTGAAATATATTAAGTATCCTTTTCATATATTTGCCTTTTTCCAAGTATCAAAGCGATTTCTGGCAGTAGAATTGTTTCATAAAATGCTCGATTTGAAGTTCTTACGGACTCCTTGCCGGCTGCTTAGTATATTGGACGCCGTCTCCACCCACATGACGCGCCATGCGGTTGTCACACAAACATGATGAAACCATACGTCTTTTGTCCATGTTAATTTGGAAAATCGGGCTAAAATGGGCATGTAAAACGAGGAGAAACACAAGTCTACTGTCGAAATTAGTTTGAAAATTATGAATAAATTTCGAATGGTAATATTACACATGTGAGGCTAAATTGCTTTCTTGACAAATGCATTACGATCTGGAACATGACCACATGTTATTTTAAAGGTGTCTGTATATTTGCATATTAAATATATCAGTCATTTAACAACTATTTAGGGTTTATACTCGACACACACACACACACACACTCTCTCTCTCTCTCTCTCTCTATTTATTTCGGTTTCACTGTATGTCTCTAAGTGTGTTTCTCACTCAGTGGGCTTGTTGTGGCTTTGGTTTATTAGGAAACCAATAATTTTGTTGATTACCCTTCACACTGTTTCCGGTGCGTGCCAAAGGTGAAGGACTGTGGTAATGCCCATCATCACTTTGACCCGTCTTATTAGGCACGAAGAAAAATGAATTTGTTCTGCTGTTAGATGGTCCAGTACTCTGCAACACCGGCTCAGCGTGAACGCTATTAACGTAGTGGGCAGTGTTACCGTGTGCTTCATTGTCGAACCCGCTCTGATATTGGTGAACTGCATGTCCTTGGTTCCAACCATGTGTTTCCGCATCGATAAAACCTTGATTTTGGTGGTATGCTCGTCCGCTGTAATACCCTTGATTTGGATGTTGGTGACTTGATCCAACACCCCCCTGCCAATAATGAGGCCTAAATCCACCCCAGTTTGGATGACCACCGTGGTTATACCCTCCATAATGACTGGGGTTATTTCCAGCAAGTCCGGAGGTGACACTGACATTCTCTTTCCCATCTCCGAAATCGAACCTGTTGGCAATATTCGGCAGCCATTGTTTCTTTATCATATCTGACCCTTTCTCCGCTATCATTATGACTGGAGCATTTGTGTTTCCTGATACAACCGTTGGCATGATGGAAGCATCCACTATTCTGAGGTTTTTCACGCCATAGACCCTAAGTTCAGGGTCTACCACCGCCATTGGATCACTTGAAGGTCCCATACGACATGACCCAACTTGGTGATTCTCCGGTCCTGTAGCAGTTCTGGCGTAACATTCCCAGTAGCCTCGGCTGCCAAAAGAAGATTTTTCAACGCAGGATGGTATTGGAGCCTTGTCAAGTTCAAAGCCGAAGCGTTCTCTCAGTACTCTTGTATTTCCGAGCTTCAGAGAGATATTTATGGCGTCGAGTAAAGTTGCCATGTCAGAAGGATCCGATAAGTAGTTAGCGTACATGAGGGGTGGGTCCAGTGGGTTGGAACTGTTCAAAGTAATGTTTCCGCGACTCTTTGGATGCAGCACAACTGGCGAGATACTTATACTACGTTTGTTGGTAGGATTCTCGGTATCCGCAGGTTCTTCCACTGTTCCAGTTCTGGCGCAATTGGCAAGGTAACCACCGAAGAATAGTTGAACATCGGGATTGTCTCCAGCAGGGTCTGCGTACATGGAATTCAGCTTTGCTGTTATCTGAAAGACATTTGGACATACACTGTAGTAATTTTCACAGCCTAATTCATACGGTTGTAAATGAGAATTATCAGTTCATAAGATTTTAATTTGTTCACTCAATACTACTGTTTCTTTCTTGCGTATTTTACAGTAAACTTGTTCGGAAATTCTGTACATTTATGGCACCGGAAAATTAATCTTTCTATCAAAGAATCCGTACATTTAATCCCATCCTTACCCTTGTACAGGGTAGTTCATATCTCAACACACTCTTTGTGTAACATTCACTTTAATATTATCATACCATCTACGAATGTTTTCAGTTGTTTGACAGCTTGAAGACCAGGATACACATTCTCACTTCCCTCAAAACATCGTATTTCATAGGATATAATAATACCACAAATCTAACATTTAGTTACAATCTGAGTCGATAAAATATACGTCATAGTTGTGACATCACTGCATACGATGCTAGGTTTATACACACTAAATACGTCATAGTTGTGACATCATTGTATACGATGCTAGGTTTATACACACTAAATAGGTTACGTTACTGATAACGCTACTTATTTCTTAGGGAATTTCTCATGTAGTTTAGTGGAGCCTTGGGGATTCCCCACGCGGTTTCAAGACTCCTTCCACGCGCAGAAACGTGAATTTCTTCACGTAACATTCCAGTTATTATCCGATTTGGAATATGTCGACAAATGTTAGTTAACCTTCACAATATAAAATGTTATTAAGCTGTGTTCGTCAGCTCCCGAACTGTTAGACGTGGATAGACATGGCGAAGGTAATAGGCGCTTTCTTTGCAGATTTGTTGCTAACGTTCTTAGAAACAAGGGATAGTTTTAACATAAAAATTTCTGCACCAATGTCCCTTAATAAATGCCTTCTGAATTAACTCTGAAGTACTCATACAGGTCGATAAAAGGAATAGCCGCTGATTAGACGACCGTGGTTCGTTTTCGTGCAGGGGCAAGTATTTTTCTCTTCGTAACCACTGCTAGACCGGCCCTTGGGACCACCCAGTTACCTATCCCATGGAATCCAGGGAATTTTCTGGAAACTTGAAGCTGAACGTCTAGGTAATTTTGTTGGTGATGTTAAGAATGCAAAGAGCTTGACCTCTATTATGTTTGTATCCTTTCATGGCTGTGTGCTTAAGCACAGGATACCTTTATAAAGGACAACACGTGCCTCCGTATATCTGGAAATAGCGGAATTAGGTTATGTTGATAAGAGTTGGAAGAAGGAAGTCTGACCGCAGCGTTTCCCTTGATGCAAATGGGCTTTACAGTGCTTTGGAGAGGCACAAAATAGCTCGACATTTGTCAGCGCCAGAGAGGCAATTATAATCAGGGAGGGGGGGCTTTGATCGCCGAAGTCTCGGCAAACGGATTTAACTTGATTGATGGATGAATTGGTGACACGAATTTTTATTCGTCCGTTTGTTGGAGGGAGGGCGTGGAAGTGCCTAGCTCCAATAAATGGTCGGTTTGCTTTTGTTCTAATAATGAATTCCCAGACGCGTTGTTGTGAGATGTGTATAGAACTGAAACAAGGGACGAGTGATAAATCGCGGTGTTGAAGGGTGCAGTTTTACTATTACGAGCGGGACGGTTTGAAAATGCACAGCTGTGATTTGTGAACGGTTCATATAATATTTAAAATGACAATTCAAGTTGGGTGAAACAACGATAAGGAAGGTGGAATTAATTAATAAATAATTAATTAAGCAAAAAGACACCAGTCAACAAATGAATAAAGAATAAAATAAATTTAACTAATTATTGTTGGTGAATGTTTTTCATAGATAGGAGAATAGATGAATCGCTGGATTAGATGAATAAATATGTGCATAGATACGAAGGGCAATATGTTAAGGAGAACTGAAAGGAAGGGAAGAATAAAGAACACTGTGGGGGCAACAAATGGAGAAAACGAGAGAACGAAGGGAAATTTTTTTTTGAGAGAAGCAAAATATGAAGAGAGAATGATTAGTGACATGAATACGGGCATGATGGAGTAGAAGAAGGTGAATATGACGATATAGATGAAATGCCAGCCGGAGCGGCAGATCGTTTAACCAAGTGGTCCCCAACGCGGTTCCCGTGGTGGCCATGGCGCCCGCCAAGGCTTTTTTTGGGTGCCCGCGATGATACGGAAAGAGGTTATACCGAATAATGAAGGCCGTTCAACCGTGAACATTATAAATACAAAGCACAGATCTCTACTTACTAATGCTCATTTTGACGATTGTTTGAGAGCAGCAACATCATCCTACACTCCCAAATTTGAAAAACTGGCCGATGAAATGCAGTGCCAAACATCACACTAACTTCCCACTTGAGTAATAATAATTGTACATATAAAAGTACGTATTTTTGATTGCATGGTTTCTTGTATCATTGAACGTCGTGTTTGGTGTCCATATCTTATTTTTCCAGAGAAAAGAAAATTTGGCTTTCTTAATTGGTTGGTGCCCGCCACGATCTCATAAACTCTCAAATGTGCCCGTAGGCACAAAATGGTTGGGGACCACTGATGTACGAAATATAATTTCGAAATTTCAGCGGCACGGGTATCACGCAATCTAACCTAATCCACCACATACTGATCTGACCTGCCCTAACCTAACCTAAACTAATCTAACCTAACCCAACCCAACCTAACACAAACTAACCTAACCACACCTAACACAACCCAACCTAAACTAACCCAAATTAACGTAATCTATCCGAACACAAATTAGGCACTGAGTGTATAATAGGACCGTCAAATGACTTTGATATATATATATATGACCTCTAAATGATGTGTGCAGTGTGACTCAGATTCCTACAGTTCTTTTGTATATGCGTGACAATTTTTTTCGAATGACCCTGAAAAGTTTGATGCCAAAATTTGTCAAACACTTTGCTTGATCTTGTTGTGGTCTTCATATGATCTTGGCCTATCGCAGACCTCATTTATTAACATGAGTATTGTCAATTAGGTATTTACGGTATGGCGGAAATAAACAAAAGACATGACCTTGAGAATTTTAAAGACACGCATCTAGGAAACTAGTGGGCCCATTATCTAGTGACCTCCACATGACCTTGACTTATACCTGACCTCATTGTGACATGATTATGGTCGACCACGTATTTATGGTTCGGCAGAAAAGATCGTGAGAATATATGACCTTGAGAATTGTTTAAGACCCGTATCTAGGAAAGTATTGGGCCGATTTTGTGGCTTCCATATGACCTTGACCTATACTTTACCTCATTGTGACATGAGTATGGTCGACCAGGTATTTATGGTTCGGCAGAAATGATCGTGAGAATATATGACCTTGAGAATTGTTTAAGACCCGTATCTAGGAAAGTATTGGACCGATTTTGTCGTGGCTTCCATATGACCGTGACCTATACCTGACCTCATTGTGACATGAGTATGGTCGACCAGATATTTAAGGTTCGGCAGAAATGATCGTGAGAATATATGACCTTGAGAATTGTTTAAGACCCGTATCTAGGAAAGTATTGGACCGATTTTGTCGTGGCTTCCATATGACCGTGACCTATACCTGACCTCATTGTGACATGAGTATGGTCGACCAGATATTTAAGGTTCGGCAGAAATGATCGTGAGAATATATGACCTTGAGAATTGTTTAAGACCCGTATCTAGGAAAGTATTGGACCGATTTTGTCGTGGCTTCCATATGACCGTGACCTATACCTGACCTCATTGTGACATGAGTATGGTCGACCAGATATTTAAGGTTCGGCAGAAATGATCGTGAGAATATATGACCTTGAGAATTGTTTAAGACCCGTATCTAGGAAAGTATTGGACCGATTTTGTCGTGGCTTCCATATGACCGTGACCTATACCTGACCTCATTGTGACATGAGTATGGTCGACCAGATATTTAAGGTTCGGCAGAAATGATCGTGAGAATATATGACCTTGAGAATTGTTTAAGACCCGTATCTAGGAAAGTATTGGACCGATTTTGTCGTGGCTTCCATATGACCGTGACCTATACCTGACCTCATTGTGACATGAGTATGGTCGACCAGATATTTAAGGTTCGGCAGAAATGATCGTGAGAATATATGACCTTGAGAATTGTTTAAGACCCGTATCTAGGAAAGTATTGGACCGATTTTGTCGTGGCTTCCATATGACCGTGACCTATACCTGACCTCATTGTGACATCCGCTTCTCACCTGCGACAGGCCTGTGCTTGACAGCGGCCCCTTCCTGTTCTGCATGTACTCCGTAGCGGCCGCCCAGTCAAGGTCAGCAGTTGCATTCTCACGCAGCAGGAAGTTGATGAACACTGCGACATGGTTGTGCAGATTCTGACCGACTCCTCTCAGGTCGTGCACTAGTGGTACTCGCACCTTGGCGAGGTGCTGTTTGGGGCCGACCCCAGAGAGTAGCAGTAGTTGCGGCGAGTTGATCGCTCCTGCGGAGAGGACGACCTCTTTACTGGCTCTAGCCGTCTGTTTGCTGCCCTTCCTGACGAATTCAACACCCTCGGCCTTTTTCGTCGTCGGATTGATAAGAACTTTTGTGACTGTCGCGTTCAATATTATATGGAGGTTGGGTCGGTTCCTCGCAGGCCGGAGAAAGGCCCTTGCAGTGCTCATCCGCGAACCGTTCCTGCAATTAAGCACATCACATTCGATGCGGTCAGATTTCCTCTTTCCAACTATTATCAAAATAACCTAATTCCGCTCTTTCTAGTTATACGGAGGCATGTGTTGTTCTTTATAGAGGTGTTCCGTGCTTTAACACAAAGCCACGAAAGGATATAGACTTAATGGAGGCCAAGCTCCTTTCACTCTTAACATCTGCAAGAAACAGAGGAAAGAGATTTGGCGTTATATTTAATTCTATGCACGTATGTTTCTGCATTTCTTTATTATGACTGCGTAGACGGTAAGGGACTAATGGGAATTATGGATCTCTCTGTGCGTCCGTCCGCATGTTTAATCTACTCTGCTCAACAGGTTGCGACTAAATGTACTGTTGTTGACACTTAGTAATATGTGTTTTGCTTAAAACGGACTTAATTTTACGTCGAGCTGAAATCGAATCTGTTAATTGTTACGAAATGTATGCTTCATGTAAATTAGAGTTTTTTCTTCATTTACGAATTAGATGCGGTCCTGAAAAACGCCGCTTAAACAAAAGATAATTTTCGCAAGAGGATTAACTTTCAGATGAGTTACAGTTATATCAAACGTCTTAGTCGAGTGGTTACTACTCCGGATTCGTGTTCTGGAGGCTCCGGGCTCATATTCCGAAGACGACTATCCGACTGAGGATGTTCGTGTCTTTCCTCAGTCCCTCAAGTTAAGTACCGAGACCTCCGACTGAGGATATTCGTGTCTTTTCTCAGTCCCTCAAGTTAAGTACCGAGACAACAGATCTAAATTAGACCGACAGTTTTATTCCACATACTTTCCAGTTAGCTATTCACAGTCTGCCATTCGATGTTACACAGGAATTATCTGAGCTACTGACACGTGACCTAAATTACGGGTCTGTGTATTACTCAAATCATTAACGACTTGGTGGTGGTTATCGACACGTGACCAAAATTACGGGTCTGCGTATTACTTAAATCATTAACGACTTGGTGGTGGTTATCTGAAAACGACTGAAGTCGGAATGTTCACCTGGATGTGGTCTGTGCTATAACAAAGCCGGTGTAACTCTTGCCATTCAGGTCGACGTCCGCTGGATAACCAAGTTCCCGTCCCGCCTGAAGGATGGCCTCGGCGAGGGGTGGGCGGTGGGGAAACTGGGTGACAGTGAGGGGCCCTCCCGTCCCGTGCATGCCTCGGTCCATCTTGTTCATCTGCAGGTTGTCCTCTGATTTCATGAAGTAGGGCAGAACGTCTTGGTAGCTCCACCCGGTATTGCCAGCTTTCGCCCAGGCATTGTAGTCCCTTGGGTGGCCTCGTATATACATCATGCCATTTAGCACGCTCGATCCACCCAGCACCTGCCCACAACACCAGATTTCGTCTTAAACTCAGCTCGGAGGCATTTAGCACACTTCTAATATCAATAACAGTAATATGCTTATTGGTCATGATGAGGCTATAAATAAAAATGAATTAGTAGTTATAAAACTTAGCAATAGGTTTCTCTGCATAATGTTCGGTACCCGAATTCCCATAGCGATAAATTTGTCAAATATCACCTCATAGTTTCGACATATCGCCATGTGCAATTGTTAGCATGTATCAAAATTTCATACTGATATGAGTTTGTGCTCTAACGTAATACAAAATTTCACTTTCCTACGTTGAGTGCGTCATTCATCACTGCTGTCAGACCGGAAGCGAAATTCAATTTTAACACGACTGCAACGATATTTTCGTTTTAGAAACAAAAATGTCGAATACTTTCCAAGACTCGTAATGAGTCTGGTCGTTCCCAGCACACAAGTTAGCTCGGGCACCAAGTTTACACTGTTAAAGGTAGAATAATAATAGAAAAAAACATTGCGATGGTTATGCTATATTTATTAGCATGATATTCAGAGAAATTTCATGAATAATGCATGAATTCTTTTGATAATTATTGCAGGGGGTACTAGATAATGCAGTAACTGTTTCTGTTAAACAGTGAAAGTAGAGTAGGATTAAGTGTTGATACTTAAACCGAATGATCTTCGTAATGGAGTTACGGTGTGTTTTTTTGGAGGTTGGAACCGAATGCTTAAATGCTAGGTAGGTAAGTTTCGTATTCGCATTTATGTCCTGCAACTTAAATTTAATGTATTTCGTAAGGGACGTTTATAGAACTTTCAAATTACATGTTTCACGCTAATCTTCAAACGAAAACAAATTCTTTCTGAATTTAATTGCACGTATTTTATATATAGATTTTGGAACTTTTAGATGATTTTTTTTGTTGGATTATCGATATCATTTGACATCTCTAAAAATAATAAATACTGTATTATTTCTCACAAGTTAGTTTGATATACTTCGGAAAGCAATAAATGGTTTGTAGACGCCTTATCTGTAATTTGACTCCTTAGAACTTGTAATTTTCGGCTGTGTATTCAACTCCGGCGGTCCTTACCTTCCCCCTGATCCAGTCACATCGCTGTTCCGGGTTCCCCAAGCACGCCACTCGTTCCGGTTCGGTTTTATAGTTCCAGTCCAGCTCAGAGCCCTGATAATTGATGACCATAGACGGGACTTGTGACCCCGGGGGCTCGTCGCCCCCAGCCTCCAGTAGCAGCACCTTCCATCCCGGAACTTCCGATAGTCGACTGGCAACCACTGCACCTCCTGAACCCCCGCCAACAACAATGAAGTCATAGCCCGTGGAGTCGACCGTCTCTCGACCTTTGATCCGACCGCAAGGGTCCTCCAAGTCACACTGTTTTCTCAGGAACATATCCAGCATTCCCATGAAGATGGCAAAGGCTCCAGCACCGCATGTTTCAGTCAGAGCTGGGCCGATGTACGGTGCAGCGCAGTTGCAACCAGCCTGAGGAAGCAACGGATGGGAGATAGTAACTCTCTTATAGCAGGATCAGAGGGTTCAAAACAGCTGTTACAGCCCGCCAAGGAACACGGTCATAAGCCAGTTCTTTCCACCTCCCGACCTCTCAACCAGCATCCCTAAGACCTGTCTTAATGTTATCCAACTATCGTCTTCTCGGCATTGATAGTGGTCGCTTTTCAGAAGGTTAATCCTACCAAAATACGTATTTGTTACACACCATTCAAGCTACAAGCCATCCCATCATATCGTAGGTCCCGCTAATGTAACAACACTTGGTGACAAAGACAGGAAGTTTCTTTTCGCGCATGTCTTAAATTGTAGGATTTGAGGTTTTCACAACGCATGTCTTAAATTGTAGGATTTGACGTTTTCACAGCGGTGAGTATGAAGATTTCTGTCTTCTGGGTTGTTGCGCTGTGTAGTCTGGTCAATGTTTACCAACGTTTCAGAGGTCAAACCAACATGAACACCATAATGGTGGTTTGTCACACGGACCACCACTATTATGACGAGATAGTACATTCTTTTTATTTCGTCTGTCTGTCTAGGAGACTGTGAATGAATCAGCACCTTCATCAATCCAGTGCCATTAAGTGGTTTGTCACACGGACCACCACTATTATGACGAGATAGTACATTCTTTTTATTTCGTCTGTCTGTCTAGGAGACTGTGAATGAATCAGCACCTTCATCAATCCAGTGCCATTAAATGCTCTCATCAGTGCGTCGTTATGCCTTCGTGTATAGTGTTTGGTCTCGTTGATTGAACCCTGTTTTTTTTTCAAGATAGCCTAACACAAAAACTGTGGGCATACGTATCTCCGAAACGGGATTTCATCCCGAGATTCGAAATTTAGGAGGATAGAGTCCACACTGCTTTCGGAATTAGCAGCTACGACGTAATTATTTTGTTTTAATTGTACTTCTGTGATCGGGTGGCGATTCGTGGCAGGAAGAGAGTAGTAAGAAATAAATGAACTACTAAAGAAATACGAAGAGATGGGAGTGAATAAAAAAGAGAAGCTGAAAACGAAACAGTGGGTATTCTGAAATGAATATTTATCGTGGTATATTTAAACCCCAGTGGTCGTGTAGTGTCACATTTAAAATTATGAAAATTAATAATTAATGTGAACATTTTGGATGGAGGTGGTTAAACCGGAGATAAATTTCGCAGTCAGATATTCGATATCCGCGATTAGATTTTGTCCACAACACGAGAAACGCCAACTGTCTATAGCGTACGTACGTTCTTAATGGAATACTGAACACTGCTTCACAAATTCCAAGTCGTCTTTGTGCATTTGTGCACATGACGTCACGTGACGTGTTATTAGCTTACGAGGATTTCGTTGTGTATTTATCAGCAGTGTGTATGAGTCGGCCCCAAGAGGCTGTCTGCAGGCCTGTCCACTGCGACGTTTTGACCACAGTTCCCAGGAGATCCAGATTTACTTGCAAATTGAGTGCAGACAGACTGTGAACTGTGAACCTTGGAACACGCTGAGAGACAAGCTGGGAGATTGCGGGACGGTAACATCCGACGTAAGCCGTGGCGGGAAGAGAGGACGACGGCTTAGAGGAGAGGAGAATTTTGGTTTTAGGAGAGAAGAGAGAATAGAGATGATGAAAGGCTGAA